CCCGAGAGAAACCAAAAGAAGACTGGCTTCCACTTCTGAACGTGCAAATTAGCCTATCAGAAAACGGCTACATTACGAAGTGGTATCGAAAGCCAAGTAGTAAAAACATCCTAGTTCATTACCTCTCCTCTCATCCCTTTCACACGAAAAGGGCGCTTGTGAGAAACATGTATCGAACAGCTACCAGCGTGTGCACAGGAAGACAACAGAGAGAGGAGTCCCGGAACTTGGCGCGGCAAATAACCATTTTTAATGGCTACGAAACCGTAGCTCGAGATAGGTGTAGAGGAAACCACAGGTACCCCAACGATAACTCTAGCGACAACAAAATCTCGTTTATACTGCCCTTCATTTCAAATTAAGTAAGTGCAGCTATAAAACGCTGTTTAAGAAGGGCCAGTCTAGAGAATTCGGTAACGATAATCGAAATACCACCGAGTAATCTAAGGCGCCAGCTAGTTCGTAACCGCCTATACGACCGTCTATGTGCAACGGAAAATAGCATAATTTGTCCCAATGGTGATAGAGACGGTGATTGCATGAGTTCGGGTACAGTCTATCTGATCTCTTGTAAAGCGTGCGGGGACGAATACGTTGGCGAAACGTGTAGACCACTCTGCGTACGTATAAAAGAACACCTAGTCGGCAAACGTAAGCCAAGTACTCCACTAGGTACGCATAGCACGCAGAAACATAACTGAGAAGATTTTGAAGTAAGGGTTACGATCCTCGCGCAAGAATCGAGAACACAAGCGCGCAAAACTATAGAGGCATTCTGGATTAATTCCTAGAATCCGAAAATGAACCGCAGGGAGGAATGCCTCGTTATCACGCGCGATATTGGACAGTATATAAACCTGTTATTCTGATGGGAGGGCACATTACGCTTCCATGTGAATTTTGTGCGGTCGGTCTTCACGCGACATGCTCAGTGGAAGACTCATAGAAAGCGGTGAGTGTGCAGAGCTGTATTAAATGTGATTGAAATCTTGGTTTAGTGTTTTCTCTGTTTGGTTATGGAGGTGTTTGGCCGAGCGGATTGCTGTCAAGTTGACCCTTCCAGCCTCTGAGGAAGGCGAAATCCGCTGAAACGTCAGCTTGTGCGTAAATAAAGAAATAAAATAGCACCTCGTGCTTGCTGAACAGAAGTAGAAAGATATATTCAATCAATACCGAGGTTAATAGAAAGTCGGACTTGGGAATTTCATTGTTTCTAATAACTTTTTGTATTATCCAATTGCTTGTTATAGATATGACTCATCACAGCTATTGGAGATGAAAAAACAATCAATTAGCTGTCAAAAATCTGGTTCAATAGCGCTAAGTCATTTCTTCAGCGCGAAAATTAAACTTATCTTTTATTTGACAGATCATCGACAGTGAACAACGAGATGCCGAAAACTCTGAGGAAAAAGAAGGAACATCTTCTGATCTACATCGAAGAGTTTGGATAGAACGAACTGAGGGATGAGGACGAAGTCGCTGGCGATGAGGTGATCGAACATGTACGTCTTGAGCATCGCACTTCCAACGGTAGTCAATTTAGAGTGATTCAGTTGCTTCCAGTTCGATGAACAGAGCCAGCACACTTGTGTGAATGGCTAATGGCCGATCTGGGAGCTTTTTGTAGGAGATCAACCGATGTGGATAAAATAGGGATGCGGCATGGGAACCAACTTCAGAAGACTAGAGAATTCACCGGTCTCTGCCCAAAAATTGGGAAATGATAACCAGCCTTCATTCGAGGTTTGGTGGAATATAACATCCGTTCTCATTCTGTGTTCTATCCTCTCGGATCCGTGCAATGACAAGTAGCAGGTTTGAGCGGTTGTTGGGTCAACTTCATTTTCTCGACAATGCAAAGAATGGTGGAGGACACAAGATGTTCACAATCACTCAACTAATTCAACGTCTCAGTGATAACATGCAGACCAGGGCAACGAGATTTGTATTGACAAGACTCTTGTGCCATTTAGATGAACAGTGACATGCCGTCAATGTCTCACATAAGAACCACAAACACAGACGAATATTATCCAAGTTACGCATAAGAGATGGCTGTGGCTTCGAGAATAAACTGGTGAACACCGCTTGAGTACAATAAGTGTAGCTGAATGGGTAGATGGCGATGTAATGATAAGGCTCATGAATGATTTGTTGAATAATGCAAAATACTTTTTCATTGATAACTGGGATACAAGTGTCTCTCTTGACTGGGAGTCTACGCAACAAGAAAATCAAACTGATTGACCCATGCAGGAAGAACAGGAAGGAGGACCTTCCAAGCACATCACCTATTAAAAGCTGATGAGAGAGCGATTGAAGGCAGTACGATAACAGAGGTATAATGGAGCTCAAATTGAAAAGAGAAGCTGAACATTCTCATAAAGTAGCACACGACGCATGCAACTGCGTCACCGCAAGTAACCAGTGCCACAGAAAGTGCAAAGGAGTTCGATAAATGAGTTCAAGTTCAAGTACAAGAGTTCAATCTACGTAATATTTAAGGTTGACTCAAGTAGCCAGAGGCTGTTTAAGGAGTTAGCTCACTCATGACTTCATATCGGCTGCACAAGTCACCAGGGTTCAAGCGTTTTTTCTTCTTACACGACCAGTCTTCAAATCCGCTCTGCCGTTTACAGCACTTCCTGCATTCCGTTCATTTCCTCACATCCATCAACCACGAAGACCTTCGAACTTTTCGCGTGTGGTTTCGACTGCTGCTTAGGTATATCCTCACCGTTATAAGTGCCGTTGAAAGCTGGTTGATTCGATTCGTCCTGGAGGCCTAGGATTGCCAGGTTGGGGCGTTCTCACTTGGATTGCAGCAAGTGAACTGTTCCCAGACATTGATAATTTTCCAAACCAAAAGGTATGAAAGGATTTGTGATCCAGGTCAGGGGCTGGATCAGCACTATACTAGCTCGTGATGAGCCCCATCACTATCACTGCGCAGACAGCTTCAAAACGTTAGCATTGAAGGCAATAACTGAAACAAACATGGTTGTTTAGCTTGGTTCCTCATTATTATCAACAAAAAGTGCAAAGGCTAAGAATGTACGCTATAGAAATGGGAACGGTGTGGGGACTGCAAACGACAGGGCTTGGAGAATCGTAATGGCTGTAATCACATGAAAATTATTTGTACAAAATGTGTTTCATGGAGCAGATTGTAACGTGTAGAGGGGTGTAGAGGTGAATTCCATGAACGATAGATTTGTAAAGTAAGCACGTTCAAGTGGAAAATTTACGACAACAATGAGAGCTTGTGAGAAGGAGAGCTCAGAATATGCTGTAATTCCGAGGATGCACAGCTACTCGTTGATGAATGCCACCACGAAGTTTGTGAACTATTTCAGGAAGGGTATGAAATAATGTAAGAGCAACTGGGAACACATAACTCTCTTGCAGATAATGGTCACAGTGACGTCGAATATTGAACTTTACCCCGATTACACCTACATAAGCCTCCTCTGCGATTTGCCGACTTTTTTTTTGTGATAAAGTACTGGCAATTTTTGAAAATCGACATGCTGGCGTAGTAGGCATGCTAGTATGGACCAAGAGATTCAAGTCGGATAGGAGAACTCATCCAAAGAAGGTTTCTTCAAACAATTAATTGTAGATAATGGCTTCTTTTGGGCGAGGCCTAGCACCTGACGAAAAATACTTGGTACTTGAACGGCCCGTCCTCACTAGTGTGGACCCCAGCATAATCACCACTTTTCTGAGATTTGCTGGTTAAGCCAATATGGTTCCCTGGAATCTCGAGGACAGCCTGGCCAAAGTCTGCTCTAGATCGTCATCACGACAGGCAGTCGCAGCCCTTGTGGATTAGATGGAGATTTAGCACCATAGGACTTTGACACCAGAACCGTGGTGGATCCTGGTATTGGTTTACTTTTGGGTAAGCTTCCTGATGGAAACGTTAGACTCCTCAGCTTGGGAGTCCCTGCCGGGGGGACGGATCCACCACTGTAGATCCCAGTCCGACACCCAGAAACACCTCCCAGCGACGATGAGGAGGTAAACCGTTGGGAGATGACAAAAATACAGCAAAGAATCTCCAGAAAGACCAGTCTAGTAAAGTTGAAATAAGAAGGCATCTAAAGAAAATCCACATGGTCCACGATGTCCCCATGCACGCAATAGCATAGATGCATGCGCTCGAGCAGTTTGGAATTTGTGCGTCGTCACGAATTTGCCAATACGGAGACGTTTTTTGGTCCTAGAGAGGGTCAACCGTAATATCCTTACGTTGTATAGGAAATGTAGATAAACTCCAGAAAGAGCATCCTGCCTCATAAAGAGACTGCATGGGCAACCATAGATTTCCTTGACCACATGTGAGCCTGTGATATCATGCTAAGCTCATTTGCTGACTTCTTTTCTCTCCAGTAATCCCAGCTAACTTAAATTTTTGGATTCCATGCACTCATCAATGGAGCCATTCAAACAACAGCACTCCTATGATAACATTCAGCAATCCTACGTAAACATCCAACGCACAGTCTGTTACTTCATAGGCAACTCTTCTCTCACTACACATTTTCTCAGCCTAAGTTAGAGTTACTGTACAGTTCACCTCAGAATCTTTGACCAGAAGGTCGCAATACCTGCGTTCTTTTCTGGTATTAGAACAGCCTCAATAAAGAAGACGATCGAGACATGTCGAACCCGATCGATCTCGACCTGGTGTAATTCCCACACAAAACGGCAGTTTGGAACCACTTAGATCCTTGATCGAAGTAAGCAAAGAAACATAAAAACAAGTAGTCGGAACTTTACTATATTCTAAAATCAAAGATCATATTCAAATAAAACAGTTGATTAACAAACAAACCAAACGTGCAGCATAAATGATTCGATCTACAACATTCTACTTAATAATACTACCCATGCGTGAAAAGAAATAAAAAAAAATAAGTAAAATTTAAAGAATACAAAACGTCAACATATGTTTATAATAACTGTAGTAAAATGTGAACAAACATTCGCAATCAATCGAGGTCGGGCTCGGGGGCCTTCGGGCGAGGTGGAGGCACGGTGTCGGCTCGACCGCAACCAGAATCACTACATTTGGTCCCAGTTGGGCAATCACCAGTAGATGCTCCATCAGCAGACATCCCAGCCATTCCTCCTGTAAACAACACTGTTTAAAGTTACTTTGTTAAAACAACTGAATACACACGAATAAGCAATATGGCATGAGAAAAAACATTTTAAGAGGCAGAAGTGGACAGTTAACATGTATTGTATTAATAGCTTCATCTTATGATCGAAACCGTTTCCAGTGAGATCAGGAAATTCTGCAATTGTGTAAACAAGACATTTCAAGACAAGGTTTTTGAGATCTGAGAAAACATTCTACGCTTTATACCACCACTGTTATCCTGTTCAATTACCTAATGCTTCCGGATACTTACCAGTCAGTTTACGCGTGGTAGGAAGTTCGATACTCCATTTTTTTTCGAACTGGGACTAATTGTCAAAGCTTTAAAGCTAATGATCTAATAAAAGGTAGTGGTCGGAAGCTGTGAACTCTGTAGAGTCGGCCAGTAACGGAAGAATCTTATCAAATTGTGATAACTGTACGTAGAGCTGACCTTATAACGTACCAACTAGTCCAACTTCGCAGGTGGTAAACTTGTCGGCTGTCCTCATGTTTCCACTATGTGGTGTCAGTCAGATCCCGACGTTGAACAGAACAGATTGTTTAAGCTACCGTAGCACTCGTTTGAAGCTCATAATTACGTAGCACTTCGTGATCCAATCAATAACAGCATAGATTTCGAAACATTTGAATTTATTCTCAATACGACAGCCTGTATGTATAAGAGTCACACGCATAGCCCAGTTTTTATTATGTGTTATGATGTCGTCCTCTCCTATATAAGGATGAACAAGTACAGACACTGTGACTCACACCCTGTCACTAAACAGTGGTACCCAATCCCACGAAATTTTTGGTAATCGAGTATTTAAAGTAGTACTATTCTGTTTTCATAACGGTTTACCGCCTCATCGTAGCTGGGAGGTGTTCCTGGGTGTCGGACTGCGATGTACAGCGAGGTAATTCATCTCCCCAGCAGAGTCCCCAGCTGAGAAGGAGTCCAGCGTTTCCGTTAGGAGGTCTAGGTAAGAGTAAATCAATACCAGAATTCACTACCGTCCTGGTATCAAACTAGTCGCATGGTGGCAAATCTCCCTGATCGACAAGAGCAGCGACTGCTTGAGGTGCTGACCACCTGAGGCAGACTTTGGCTTGGCTGACCTCGGGACTCAAGGGAAGTACAATGGCTAAATCAGCAAAACTCCGAAACAATGAAAATTATGCTGTGGCCAGCACTACCAGTGAAAACGGACCATCCAAGTACCCAAGTACGCGTTGTTGTGTGTGTATATCGAAGTAATCGCAGATTTTGCGATTAGAACACTACAAATATGTCTGATAATGGCAACATGTCGCCTGTAACCTATATAGGACTGCTACTTATTATCCGCTAACTCGTTCTTAAGAATCAATTTACAGCAAAATTCCGCTTTAAATGACACTCCCAGGATAAAGAAATCATGACGTTTAGCTCTATAAGTCCAAACTGTGCCGTACTTCGAGGAAACACTTTCCTACGAACAATGTCCGGATCGTTCAAAAAATTCACTGCCGAAAGGAGATATGAGGGCCAATAGCGAAAAAGGACAAACAAATCAGTAGTTGACGGCAACAACCTGAAAGTGATAGTGTCGAAAGTTATTTTCGAAAAACTGCTTATAAGACTGCCGAAACACTGCTCAACGATAATCACACAACATCCGTTCGCCATATAGAAGATATAGGAAGGTAAAAAAGTTCGATGAATGGGTGCCTAATGACTCTTAAAAAGCACGGGGCAAATTTTTTTAAAGTCCGACCAGCGCTCTTTTCATGCAAAAAAAATAGTCAGTTCTCAACCTCACTGGAGTCCGATGAAAATACGGACCTTACGCGATAGCCAACGAGAAAAGGTGCAATGGTGGGACCGAGCAAATAATCTAAACACTTGCTAAAGTCTTCTATGCAGAAAAAGGTTATAGTGGATCTATGTGTAGACAGAAATCTACGATTCGACGACAATCGACATTTTATTCAACTCGAGGTGATAACGAACTCTCACACCACGACGACGAACGACTATAGACAATCGACTGGAATCAGCTGTGAAGAAGACAAACACGTCGAAATGTTTGCTGGATAAACATTGATACCGACCCCATGTAAATTAGACAATCTAAAGAAATATAAAAACGTGGGAATCCTTCTGCTCTCTATATTGGTTGGAAAGTTGTGCTTTAGCTGACTTACAAACATATCAAGTTATGGCACCGGCAATTATTGCATCAACCTAATATAAGCTACACGTAGCAGCCACTTAAACTAACGCTGCTTTACAAACTAGGTTAGACAAAAAGAACAAAACAAAACAGATATCGTTGCATGACATTCCAGGTTGCGTAATAAATGCTTAAAAATAAGATTTAACTCAAGTTCAAGATCATAACAGGTAAACGATGGCAAATAAACCGGTCTTCTTTCACACTCCTAGAAAATAATTGCAAATAAACTTAATGAGTAGACGAAAAACAAAAGACAAACCAGCAGCCTTTACATTTATAATTCCATTAAGTGATATAAACAGACAGAAATATGAAAAAAACAACATTTGTAACAGTTTCCCGTTCCTATACCCCACCTTTCATTTTTGCAAAGAGCTTCATCACTTTCGGGTTACTCATATACTTCATCAGATTCGAAGGGTTAGCCACGATGTCCATGAATGCACTCATGATCTGAAAGCATGGGAAAATGACAAGTCTGTTAATGTCCAAAATATCCGTACTTAACACCAAGAACACCAACTAAAAACAAACAATGTCTTAGCGCAAAAGAAAAGGTGATATGAGAACCAAGTTGGTCAGGCTTCAATGCTCACTGCGCCATGGAAACTAACCTCCGGATCCTTGAGAGCCGCAGCGATGTCAGGATCCTTAATAAAATCATCAACGTTCGGCATTCCTCCTTGTCCTGCATCACCAGCAAACTAGAATGATTTCTGTTACAGCAAAAAAAAAACGCTTCAGTGGGTTCACTTTTTAGTAGGTTTAATCTAAAACACGGCAGTAGTTAAGGCGGCATAGGAAAACGGACTATTTCAACTAAATAAAAATTTCGCATTAGGAACAGGTAATGTAGATAAGTTTAAAGAATGGTTAACGTTAAAGCGCATATATTATGAGTACTATCGAAAAATAAGTAAACTTTCAAACATTCACATTATCGGCATATCAACACTGTTCTAAAGTAAACGGAAGAGCGCAATGTTCTCACCTTTGCAGCTTCCTCTTGCGCCTTCCGATTCGCTTCCGCCGCACGGCGCACACGTTCACGACGCTCTTTAAGCTCACGCTCTTCAGCTTGACGAGAAACTGCACGATTGTACTCTTGAATTTTTCTCGCCTATAAATAAACCATGTGGTGTATTTTTCTCCTTTAAAACCATTGTGGACTACAGAACCGAAAACAACAAATGACACAGTATGACGAGGAAAAATATGAACTATTCAGCATGAACCATAGCATGATTTGCTGGATGAAGAACATGTTGGAGCCAAAGCATGTCTTAAACAGTTGTTGTAGAGTGAATGTTGCTTGTCTAATACTCGATTGAATATAAGTGGTAAGATAGAACTGCACATAACGCTATAAGTAGTGCCCATATTGTCGAATGAAACGATAAAACACCTCGTCTAATTTCTATCTTTTTCAAAAATACGTAACCTGGATTTCCCAGGGAAAATCACTCAACTCATTCTTAGAACGCTTTAGGGATAATTCGCCGATCAAACAGTCAGCAGTATTGACAACTTTCTTTCCAAAAATGAAAATCTTTTTTCCTATCAAGATTACCTTCCTACTTTGCACCACTAGATCGGCGCAAACCACTGTGAAACAGAATAAGCATTCAATGAGTTCAATCACTGCCACTCTTTGCAATTAAATAAGGACGTCCTATGATAAAGCTCGACGAGCGTATGGGCGTGGCTGAGGGAAGACAGCTGGCCGTTTTCTCAGTGCTTGACATGTCACTGTGTTGAATGGTGGCGGCTAAGTCCTATGAAGTACTGATGGCACCTCGACTTTTTTCAATTCCAAAATTATTGCTGTTCAGCACTATCCTAATAGGTGGTGCCACAGGTAAGCCAAATGTCTCTATAAACGTAATCATTTCCAAATTCCAAACAGAAATCAAAATTACATTAGAAAACGAGAGATCGTTTAATAATCTTCATCTACTTTTTCAGGAAACCTTACTTTGTTGATCACTGGGCACGCCACCGAAAACGATAACAAACATAGCCTAGCTAGTTCATTCGTTCATTCTTACGACGAAATAACCAAAGGCAAGTAATCGCAGACGAAATTTTCTGAAATCTCTAACTTTAACCTTCATGCACACCGAAGACTAACTTTAAATCGGTGGCCACAATTTTTGTCCACTTGCTTTTCTCAAGATATTTATTACATTGAGGCAGGCGTTTATCCATCTATCAATCAATAGAATGCATATGTATTATCTTGGACAGCTGTTCAGAGTCAAATCAATAACACTCTGACCGAATCAATTTGGATTGCGTCTGCGTAGCCTTTCAGCTGAACATCTGTTACAGTACACAGAATAGTGTACTTCGCTGAAAGCACGAAAACCAAGGCAGAGATGTATTGAATCTTTGATGCGTGGACTTTCTTCCTGGTGAACTGCACATTTTACACATACACTCCACGCTCATATCCTTCAGGAAACAAAGCAGATTTTCAAGTTCCGAAAAGATATAATGCTGTATACAACATATAAAAATACATGGATCCATTGAATAAAATTCCCAGGAATCCAATGTGTATTTTGAACACCTGTCCGAGTTCACAAAACCGCGTGCAAATCACAAAGTACACGAAGTCTTTCCAATTATTGAAAACCAATTTCGAGATATAAAACTGCATCTCAACTCATTATGTCCCCTAAACTTTTCCTGATATTCATTGATTATAAAGAGAACTATAAGCCTGATTTGAAAAAGAAACTCCTTTTTCTTATAGAATCACCAGCAGACCTGTTCGTCTTCGCGAACGCTATTACAACGGCGTCGGTAGTCCAGAACAATCGTCTACTTTCGGAATGGAGCAGCCACGAATTAGTCAGAAACGTGACCACACTCGTTGTCGCGAATGTTGGAGTCGAGCAAATGAGTCCTGCACACCTTGACGTTGTGCAAAGATTCATAACGAACGACAGCGCAGTAGTTGCCATCGAAATCGGTTAGTTGAAAGAAAAAATGATCTGCTAAACACTGAATTCTACACAGTCGCGACTGTTTAGATCTCGAAATAGAACAAACCACAAGTTAGCTGTCCACTACTAAAAACTAACACTCCAAAAACTACTGTAAAACGGAATAAATCCCTCTTCAAACCACACCAATGAGACTCTACACGAATCCATCCAGAGGTTTTACTTAATCGAAGAAATCTCGAAACGGTTGATTCGCTGATTCCCTGTCAAAGAATGATTTCGAAAAACAACACCAAAAGTTCCCAGTTTTCCTATTCTCCACTTTTTCTTTTGAAGAAAATCATGTGGTTACGAAAATACTCCAAAAGCAAAGTAAAAAACAAACCATGATTTACTGTTTTTGAGAAAAATGGAAAAATTTTTACCAGTCGAAGTAACATAGGTGGGAAAGTCTTTGTTATTCGACACGCAAAAGGAACCACACCAATGAGAACAAGTAAGCAATTCCACAGAAAATCGATTGCTCTTGATGTAAATTCCAAGTTTATCCGCGTTTATTGACTCCTATCCTCAGAAAAACAAGAGGCAACATTATAAGATTTCATACAGCCTTATTTTTCAGGAAGCCCCAGAATCGAAACCCGCATGCTTCTTGAAAGGCGTGTCTCATGTACCACGCGAAGTTCTACCTACATTGCCTCTCCAAACGAGGTCTACTTTTGCAACAACGCTTCGCCGAAGATGCTCTCAAATTTGCGCTTCGAGAAACCAGTTTACATAGAGCCGTTGGAGCGAGCGGATGTAATGGAAAGATCACAGCGCTGGCTCTTTTGGCCAAATTTGTTCGCGTCCGCAGCAAAACTCAGGGAGCGAACCCACCAAGAACACAAAGAGGAGCATCTCGACCATCAGCACCACAGTCATCTACATCACAGGCATCACCATCATCCACACCACAGTCACCATGATCATAACAGAAATGTGGGTTTTACATTAGATTTATATTAAAAACTGTATAAAAAAGTTCTCGTTTGAACGATTAACTCTGCTCGTCATCTACCGCTTAATACAGTAAGACAGACTTTAAATACTACAAAGACCTAATAATGTTACGAAATCGCATTTCTCCATAAACACAAACACATTAGAGTCCGAAAAAATGAGAAATGAACTTTTTTTTAAACTAAAGAGCAAATAAAAAGTTGACGATTAATTTAGAGGGCTTTTGGATTGTCTGTACTATCTATGCATACACCAGGTAACACTGATATGGTTTTAGAAGTTTGTCCTATAAAACCACCAAACCATCATATGTCACTGATATATGTCAATAGTGATTGATTAGTTAGTAGAACATGAAAATGACCTCAGAAAGCGTTATTTGGAGAATAACTACATTATAATGACTATTAATTAAAAAAGAAAAAGACGGGTTAGTTGGTTCTCAAAAAACTACTTGAAAACACGTTGAATTTCAGTTCGACGAAGATGTCGACGAGATGGTTGACAAGATAATGGAAGACATTGTGGAACAAGGTGGGATAAACACGGCAAGTCCTCCCATAGAAGAACAAAACAAAGTCAACAAGAAACAAGCGTGCAAATACCGGAAATCTTGTTATGAAACTGGTATAAAGCCAGTTGTCGATGACAATTCAATCTTTAACTTTCGCCATTGGTGGCCTGAAAAAAATGGAGGAGATAAAGATAAAGAAGACGAGGTGAAGCTCTATAATGAAAATGAAAACCTCCCACTCCTCAAGCTTCGCTGCAAATATCGCCGCTCTTGCTATCAAGAACATGGGATACCATTTAAAGACAAATTTGAGGAAGAAAGAAAGAAACCTGTTTTAGCATATAAGACAGTTCCCTTACAGCATGGAAAGAAGAAAACTCTGAAAGAAATTGCGGCGGAAGCACTGAAGAAGGTGGAAGAATCTATAGAGAAAGCAGCAAAGCGTCCTTTGGTGAAGATCGTGGAGAAACAGATGACTGCTATGGAAGAGAAACTCAGCGAAAAACTCCACTGCAAGTACCGAAAGAGTTGTTATGAAACCGGTGAAATACCACATATTGAGGAAAACTGGTCGCTACCATTACCAATCAAGATATTCTCAACCGAATCGGTTGATTCCGAAAATAATCAAATAAATTTCGATGAGCTAGAACAACTTGAGAAGAAACTCTACTGCAAATATCGTAAAAGCTGTTACGAGACTGGCGTCAAGCCCGATGTTGAACCAGAGATCTTTATTAACACTTTGAAAGATCTCACCACCATTTATCAGCAGGTTGAAACAAGAAAACCATCTTTGCAGGAAAAATGTAAATACAGGAAATCCTGCTACGAGACTGGAATAGTCCCTGACATCAACCCGAAATTAGAAGCAGTGATAAGTAAAGAAGTGAGCAGTGTGATTCCAACGAATACGCAAGACTTGAGACTGCTTTGCAAATACAGAAAGTCGTGCTACGCCGAGGTCCACAGTTCAGCAACCGTGGAAACGATCAAATTATTAAGAAAAAGACGTCAGATAGAGAAGGAATTACGGCGGCGGAAAGCTGCACGTATGAAACCTCATCGAAAATTACGTGGTGAAGTACAGTTGGGTCATCACCGGAAAGCAGTCGGTAAAAAAACACTGGATGAAAGCATAGACGATGTGAAAGAAAGAAATGTCAAACCTTTGAAAATATCAGACAAAAGAAAAGCCCGCAAACAAGAAGAAGGTGAGCAGGAAGAAGATGTCGAAATAAAGGAACGACCTGACAGTGAAAGCAAAAAGGGGAAGGTAAAAAAGTCGAAACCCCAGATTAAACAGTCAGATCAACCCTTAGCAACAAAATCAAAGGAAGCGAGTCCGGTAAAAAAAGAAAGAAAAGGAAAGAAAGTGAAACTTGAGAAAGAGGCATCAACAGCGACACCTACTATGGGAAGTAAGGAAGAAACAGATGTGACGGATTTCTCCAAAAAAGAAGCAAAACCAGCAATACCGTCACCACTGAAAACAGAATTACATGTGCCAGAGGAGCAGGATACTGAAAGGGAAAGTATAGGAGACGACAAAAAAGGGAAAAGATTTGGTAAAGCTGTCCAAACAATGAGCAAACTGATTGAAGAGATGCAACAGCAACAAGAGCAGCAGAAAAGAAAGGAATTTTGCAAATACCGCAAATCCTGTTATGAAACAGGAAAGCGACCAGAAATCAAGCAGTCATTTTACAATCTTCTCGAGATGTTCAAAGACCATGTGGATCGAGAAACTGATGAGGCCCATGTCAAACCAAAAACGGAAACCGAAAAGAAGCTTGACTGCAAGTATAGAAAAACGTGCTATAGAACTGGCGAATACCCGGGTACACATGAAGTAAAAAGCGGAGAAGTGAAGAGCATACATTTGGATACAAAAGCCAGTCATAGCATCAAAGCAGAAGAGGGCTTCAAATATGACGCGAAAAGTAATGACAGTGCTAGAATATCGCCAAAGGAGCCACGATTCCATACAGAACAGCAAACACAATCAGACTCGGTGAACATGATCGGTTTAGAACGCTATAAGAGAAGTGGAAAGTGCAGCCCCTACTATTATTCCTGCCGTGAAATACTCGGACTTCCGCCAAAAGAACGAGCCCCAATTGGGCCAAATGGGAGACGACTTTGTCGTAAGAAACCGTTGTCATCCGCATAATATTTCACGTAGATAAAATTCGTAATGTAGAGATCAAGTTCTAGATATTTGTCCTTGTTTCGCTTAGATTTGTCAAGAATTCCACGCATTTGGAGATAAACATGTCATTTCCGAGTGTGATTAGCATATGACACAAAAATTTCAGTCCATAAAGTTACACTCACATTTGGTTCGACTTCTTTAAGCCATTCATTTGCTACGTCATCATAATCCAGTTTGCAAGCAGTAGCGAGATCTGTGTGAGCTTCCACCCACTTTCCAAGAAGACTAAATTTGTTTAAAGTGTGTAAACAGACGTCTTTCAAAACAGAAAATGTAAACAAGTTCAAAATTGACTCGTAGCTAACTATAAGTGTTAAGTAAAGGTGTCACTCAATTTCCCCTAAAAATTTTATTACGGTGACCTTCTTCAACGACATAGGCACGAGTTAATAGGCTGAGGATTGTAGGCGCCGATTATTACCACATATCGCATAGCTTTATACAGATTGTACTACACCATGCACCAGTGATTCCTCGGAAATAAATTGTCCCTCTTGTATTTCCGTATGATAATTCGTAGTTGTACGTATTTTGCAATTTAAGCTCCTTGGCTAAATTTGCGTAGAGGTCTTCACTTTCAATAATTGCCCATTTTTTTCCATAACAGTTTACGATGTGAAGTAGAACCACAAGGATGCTAAGATGAGAGCAAAACTCAGAACCGCAAATGGGCTTCGAACCGGCAATTACCCTTTACCGGGGCTCACGTGTTGCCGACTGCACTCCTGAGACCCGCGCTTCGCGTTTTTCTCAGCCAGTTTTTTCTTCATATTCTAACAGTGCCATCAGCAATCACCCATCAATGGGAATAATCTGAACAGCACAAATCAACACTGAACTCCAGTTAAACTGAAGCCTAAACCTAAACCACAATGTTCCAACTTTTATTTACTGTCTGGTCGTTTTTTATGGCAAAACATTCCCACCGACGTATGACTGCTGATAAACATCGACTGAGTGAAAACTGGCTGACAGAAAGGAAAAGCAGAGGCCTCGGCTGATGTGGTGGCTAGCGGGGTTCGAAACCCAGTTGAGGTTCCGAGTTTTCTTCACATTTCAGCACCCTTTTGCATGGCGTGACTAAAAAAGGGTGAGAAACGAATATCTATCGCTGTCAACACGCTTGTCACCTCTTGGATATAAGTCACACATGATCTTGATGTGTTAAAAACGAGTCAAGGCATCTGAATTTTTCACATTCTTCAAAGTGCCTAAGCCATACAATTTCGTAAGTAACAAACAAAAATTAAGGATCGATGCCGTTTTATAAAAACCAACCATTCATATCATACATCTTCATGGAAAATTATATTTGGATATTTTTGAAAAAAAAACGTGAAATCCAACACTGCAAAGTATTTCACTAACCGGTAGGCTCTGCCTCTAAACTTATACCCTTGAGCGGAGTCGGGATTGATAGAAATCGCCTTGTCACAGTCAGCAATTGCTGCCATTGGACGTTTCAGTTTAAGAAGAACACTAAGTGGATATTGCTTGCTAAGAACATTTCATAAAAACAAGTACTTTCAAACAAACAAATACCTAGCTCTCTTAGCGTGCAACATAGCCGAGCCAGGATTTAATTCAATGGCTTCAGTGAAGTGTTTTAAAGCATCATCAAACATTCCTGAAACCAATATTTAGTTCAGTCGTTGAAGACATGTTCATTACTGCAATATTTTCGCCTTTTACTACAGATATATCTAGTGGTATCAGTTGCATCAGGAAAGGAAAAAATACATGAACTGAACCAATCTTCTGATTTCAGTTGCAACACCTTACATATTCAAAACCCATAGATTACTGCTCGGTGGAGTGCAAAGCCCATATATTATTGTTCGGTAGGAAGTCTCAGTTAGAAGTCTCCGATACACTTATACAAACATTCTCTTGATTATATTCGCTTTAATTCTAAGTTCACAGAAATCCCCACTAGGCACTTCGTATAAGAAAAGTACTGCCATAAATCAAAACAAGATGACAATGTATAATTTCATTAATTAATGAATGCGACAAACCATAATATTGCATAACCATCGGCCCATTTGTCAGAAAAAGGTAATGTTTAATTTAAAAGAAAGTCAGCATACAACCCATTTTCGGTCCTTATTAAATATTGGGAGTTCTCTCAATAGCAGACACTCGCGAATATGAACACAACACTCCTCAGTGGGAATACAAAATATACCTTCTGAAAATGCGGTGATAGCCTTATCTCTCGCCTCGTTTGCTTTCTCAAGGTCTTCATCAGAGGTCTGAACCACATATAAATCATAGATGGAACTGCTATGATTCAAGGAAGAAAAAAAAAACGAAAACGAAAAACAAGAAACCTCTTTGTTCGGATCACCCATTGGAAGAGGAGTACTGTCATGGTCTGGCTCAATAACACCAGAATTATCGATGTCTGACGGGTATGGGATGGGTGGTTCTTCCTGAAACTGGCACCGTTCAAAATACAATGGATGCCGCAGAAGGAAATCCCAGACGTCAAAGGAGAGTATAGCAATATAAAATAGCGTGTTTGACAGAACAGAACGTTTCAAAGGAAAAACGGACCATTACCATCAAACATTTGCAAAAGATTTCCTATATTACACTCTTCAACTATAATTGGTAAAAAAAAACAAACAGTAAATAAACTTTTCAATAAGCTAATGAAAGAAACAATATAATGTAGGAATGTCATAAACAAAATAACACTTTGAAAAGAAGAAGGGGGGTCCCTGTCCAAGGCCATATGCACCTTCTGTCGTAGAAGGATCTCCCACGAATTCTCCCCAAAGAGCGATCCTATGATGATTAGTGGCGGGATGTAGCGCCATCACAGTCGCAGATACGCGGTCAATCGCGGACGAACAGCGACTTTGCTTCCCTGAGACGCCTGCCGACCCTGGGAGTGGACTCTTTGTTTCTGCTGCGCTGATTTAGCACATATCTTCTGTTTACGCAGCCCTATTCATTCATGCGTGCATGGATATGTTCTCATTTATTCGGATAGTGTTGTACGAGTCAATTCGGCCAAAAGCTTGCAATCAAGTAAAGGAGAAGTGTGTGGGAGGCGGTTATAAGACGCCTACAACGAATAAGCTGCCCAGCCTCTGGCAGACTGGCAAGCTTCCCGTGAGTATACCCAGCCCCCACACGTTCACACCTCAGTAAGCTGTACGTGGGTATGAAAAGCTAAACACAGTCAAAAGAACGAGCCTCAGTCCTTTGACCCCGAAAGAGCCCGCGATACAGCAGCGTTGAGTAGGACGAGTACGGAGAGACTACTAAAGTCTCAGTGCCACCTAGGCTGCCTAAGCAACAAGACCTATGGTGGCGAACGGCATCTGCAATGCACGCTCACTTACGTTTGATTCCCATATAGACGACCTGATCATGCAGGCAAGAAGGATAGAGTACAACGTTACTGGATTGATCGAAACGATAAGACACCACCCATTCAACGACAGCTTTGATACCGGAGAACAAATGTCTCTCGGAACATGCGACTTACGTTTGATTCCCATATAGACGACCTGATCATGCAGGCAAGAAGGATAGAGTACAACGTTACTGGATTGATCGAAACGATAAGACACCACCCATTCAACGACAGCTTTGATACCGGAGAACAAATGTCTGGTCGTCAACGTCAACGTTCTCGGCAACATGAATTTGGCCATGAACACCGATTCAATCGAACAACCCACCTCTCCCCTCTCCAAACTGGACGTTTAAGATTGAAGAGATGTAGATCAACATCAGCTTCGACACTCTTCGTGGTCTACGCACCGGCATCAAGGCAGAAGACGAGGCAGAAGTCGAAACAATCTATATGGATTTGGTGAAGTTCTACAGAGAAGACCATACATTCTTTAAGGTCATCGTTAGAGATTTTAACGCTATGACTGGACCCAGAAGACCCAAAGAACGCCACAATGGGATCCACGGATTAGAATGGAACAAGCATGCTGAGCGGCTCTCTAAGTTTATTACGACGATCAAGACCATTTATGGGAACTCCAAATTCCAGAAGCCACATTCTCGACGCTGGACGTGAGAGTGTCCTAATTGAGAATACAATGACGAAATACACATCAGAGTTAATCGAAGGTATTGACTAACCGATGTCGCTGTTGTCCCAAAATTTACGGGATCAGACCATCCCCTCCTTCGTGTAAAATTTCGTTTCTCGTGAAAAATCCGGTAAATTCAAAAAACGAAGTTGCAAAAAAAACCCATAAAGTGGGATGGGTTCAGCACATTAATCGGTCGTTGGATAGAAACTGTTGTCGATAACATCGACGAGGAATACGATCGGTTCATTCAACGCCTTCACTTTAGCGCTTTAAAACAGAGAGTACGAAAGCCACCAAGAGACTTCCGCTTCCAAAAGCACTCGAGCTGATACACCAGCGTAAGTTTTTTGAGTTATTAAGAGACATACTTAGATATCTGGATGGCCGGTCCTCAACGGTTGTGCGGGCCCCAGAGAAATTTCCATTCTCCGGAGAATAGCTGGCTTAGCCATTGTGGTTACTTGGAATCTCGAAATTAGCCAAGCTGAAGTCCCCCCTCAGGTAGTTACCACTCCAAACAGTCGCCGCCCTTGTGGAACAGAGGGAGATTTTTCACCATGCAATTCGTCTGATACCATTACGGTGGTGATTTCTGGTTTTGGTTTACTCTTAGCTGGGATCCTGTATAGAAACGTTAGACTCCTCAGTTTGGGAGGCTGTTGGGAGACGAATCCACAGCTGCCCATCGCAGTCCGATACCTAGGAATACCACCAGCCACGATGAGGCTGGTAACAGTCGGGATGCCTTCATCTAAATAAAGCACGGTGTATACATCGTTACACCAATTCTTCTTTCCGAAATCCGACATACTATTTCTTCGGTGAAGGAGGGAACAACACTAGGTCCGGACAAGATAAGGTTTCAACATCTGAAGAATCTTCCGCAGCCTTCATAAACACACTGTCTTCGCTCTTCACACCTGCCTGAATCTAAGGTCCCTAGTCAATGGAAGACCAGAAATATAGCCTCCATAAGCATGCGGAAGAAAGAACAAGACTGGGAGACGTCTTACCTCCATGGGTTCTGGCTCAGGAAACTTAGTCTCGGCTTTGGCAGCGCCTTCAGCATTCATCTCTTTTTTCATCGGAGGAATTTTTGCTCCAAGCCTGAACGTGACATTTTGACGCAAAATTGGAGAACTACTCTTATGTAAAAGTAGACACTCACTCTTCAAGGAATTCGCGAAAGAATGAAAGTGATGGGTTATGTAGAAGATCTGTATTGGCCCTAACATTGGACACAAACTGCTTCAATAACATAAGGTGCTCGTCCATGGCTAAGTTCCAATTTAGCTGATGAAGAGTTGAAGAATCGAGATGTCTGCAAGATACGTTGTTGTAACACGTCCTAAGACTACGAATACTGAATCAAATTAGTCTCAACAGTAGAGGCTTGACGTCTGGTAGTTATAAAGGATAAGGCTCTCGGCGTTGATCAATCCCTGAGGGAAGCGCCAAGCATTCGACTTCATAAAGCATCGTTTGGAGTTGATTGAATGCATATCTGGCCTTTATAATGACTCGCAGTGGCCTACCGATGTATCGAGCCAGTGCTGCCATCCTCCCAAATAAGTCTGGCACCAAACCGCCGACCCAGGAGGGATGGAGGGATTGATGGGCCACAGGCGAGGGGATCGATCTTGTGTGTGTGTTGCAAGGCGCCTCCGAACATTGCACCACACGCGCTCTCTGTCTGATAGTTGCTGAATAGAATTCTAAAGGATCACTAACACGACGTTAAAACGATTAACGATAGAAGTGGAAGAATCTGATAGCAAAGTGGAAGAAGCAAAACAAGGTCTTGCTGCATGGCTCGAACCGTAACTGAGAAGAAGGGCATCACAACAACGCCACCCCCCTACGCCAACGCTCGTTGGAGCGAAATTAGCCTTGTGACACGATTGTCGCAACGGAGCATGCTCATGCTGCATCGTGCTACAGCAAGATATTTCTTGCAGTCGAGAGAATGGAATAGGTTGTTTTAAATACGTAGAGCTGTTGTGTTGCAGTTTGATAGTTAGTGGAATGTAACGACTATCTGTTACTCTACAGGTGGATGGAGCCGTGTTTCAAGCTGTAGTGTTTTTCTTCAAGTATTCGCAATTTTTATCCGAAGTTTTGCTCATAGAGTGTTGTTAGTTGGACAAAGACTCTTGAAGAAACTCTTGCATGGCTCCTAGTTCTTGTGCCTAGATGGTTTGATAAACGTGAAATTGCACAGGACATTGAGCAGTACGAACAGAATGGAGATTGCCGATATAATCACGATGTTGAAAGTAGCTCCTGAACAGTACTTGATAAGTTAGTGGCTAAAAGTCAACGGACCATTGAGTAGGGAAGCATCATGGTACTGCCAATGATAACGAAGACAAAGCAAACAGTGCACACCGATCGATAAAAGTAAGGCATTTATTGGTTGGTCCTTGTCTGAGAACCGTCTGATTTCGTAATCTTACACAACAATCAACTATTTGTACGTAGCGTAACCTAACAGTTGTGCTGAGCACTCGTAAAAAATACTTCATCAAGGGCATTGGAGTTATATCATATTAAGGACGCTGTCATACTTGGGAAAAGAGAGGCATCAGGATCTGTATGAGTTGTCCTCAATTCGTACCCCGCCATGTGAAACTAGGCAATGGGTAACTGTGAACACATATGGATAAGTTAGATCTCAATTGTGATAACGCTATTACTTTACCTAAATTTTTGTGGAAATGTTTCGTTATGGTGTAAGCAAGCTCCTTTTTGAGCGAGATCCTTGTTACTTCCTCTAATGCTGATTTTAAGTCACCATCCGCAGTTTTTTGGTGTAGGATAACCTTAAAGACTTTGCAGTTTATCCTGTTTTGAAATTTTGAAATTTGGTTAGAGAAACTCCTATATAGAAAATTGTACGTACATATATCAGAAAGAAGCAAGGATCTGGAAGAAAATAAAGGACTTCGTGGTGCAGAACATTGGAGGAAAATCAACTTCACACAATTGATCTTACCATGAAATTTGAAAGGTCATTACAGAGGTCATACTGGCAAGCGTAGAGAGTTTGTAGCGTGGCTGTTTGCTGATCGTACGTAGTGCAGAACTGTTCCACCTGATTTTGTGATAATAATTCATTCCATGGTGAATACGGTAGCTTGCAGTGTGGCCTTTGGTTCGATCTCGCGCCTCAGGATCACCAAGCTCTAAGCTACTACAGGGTTGGCGAATTGGCACCATACTTGTCTGGTAGCAAAGCAGCGCTAACCTAACACATCGTTAGGGCATCACAAATCATTTTATATGCCAGATATGCATGCAGTCACCTCTAGGAATGCTTGCCGAAGTTGAATGCATAGCGCATCCCTTAGGGATTGATCAACGCGCCTCTCAGTCTGACAAGCTTAACCCTTTATCCTTTACCCAAGAAGAACATTAGAAAGAGCCCATCTCATCAACGAAATCTCTTTGACTAACAGAGATATTCAGAAGAAATTGACGGTGTTTAAAAAATTTACAGTGACTCAGAGGATTAAGAGCAGAGCTATGTAAAAATGTTATATGAACTTTTTTGAGGTGGAAACTCTGAAAAGTTTCAGTTCTCTTCCAAGGCTCCTGGAAATCAGTCGACTTTAAAAGTGTTATAAAATACTCGGACATCGATCACTGTAAGTGATGAAGTATGTCAGGTTTCTAGAAATCACTTCGGCTCTGTTTTTCGGATTTTCCCACACCATTTCGAAATGCGCTTCTCTAGTTTTCTGTTAGTCTTGTATAGCTTTGAAGCGCCATATACCAAACAATATTTTTCGTCAATGTTTATGTTCTCATATTAATTCGCTCCCGACACGCTCACGGCGATGTGTAGTAGGCATATATGGCAATATGGCTGAAATTATATTGTTTTTTCAGCTTCACGCAAAATCTCTCAGCTCATAGCAAACAATACTACAACATTCGCAACTGTAGATATCAACTAAAGGTATTACAGTAGCCGCTGATAATTCTAGACCAATTCATCTACCAAGTCGGTGTTCCAATATTCTCATACTAGACTGGCAACAATTTACCGACCTTGGATGGACTTATTAGTCCAGAGTACGAGATTGAACCAATGACCGTGTATATTGCAGTACCCTCTGAGCACCACACAACGTGCGCCATGTAATTTTATAACACTTAATAAAGAGTATTTCTTTCACTCATATTCTTCCTTGGCACAAAGTTTACATTAGATTTTTCACACCGGTCATTCAAGGAATGATAAACACCATATTTTTTCTTTCTTCGAAATGTATGAATCTAATAAATGAACTCAATTGGATCAGAAAACGGACCATCTCCGTTTCTCCTTTCATGACCAAGTGCTTAAATATTCTTGTCCTCGGGTCCAAAACGATTGTTATCGAGCAGCTCAGGAACTTGCCATCCTAAAAAGTTGTTGTGACTAGCGTTTGTTCACTACACTCAAACAGTAACAGCCTGACTTCTATGTTAAGCGAAGAAAATGTTAGTAGATTTCGAGGGAGATGTACGGTATGAAGAACTGTCCACTATCGTATCGCAAGAAGTCCCATGAACTAACAAGAAGGACAGCAACTCAACAAAAGATTTCATACAATCAATCCATTCTACTGTACTCTACAGAAAATAGCTTAGATCTTGACAAAACTTTTGGTCCTAAAGATACAGAACCGATTACTTTTACTTAAAAGGCTAATTTGGACGACACCTTGCACCTCTCTCTACGTGACCTATACAAAGCTATATTCCTTTCGTGACTAAGATGTGGAATAATTTCCATAGTTTGGCATGGTCATTTAATTTTTCTTCTTTATAGCATGATATTGCGTTTTTATAATAAATGATAAAAGACAAAGCGGTGGTGAGCGATGACTAGTTTCTTAGGAATGTATTCGTTGAACTCCACTTATAGCATCGTTGGAGTAGTTGGATGCATATTTGCCTCTAGAATGAGTTGTGGAGGCATGTCGATGTATCAAGCCAATGTTTTTTGTTCACAGACAAATCTTACATTAATTTGGTGGCTTGAGCGGAGCGGTAGCAGTCTGGTGCTCGAGGTTGAGCCACAGACGCTGTGCGTGCTGCTGAGCACTTCTAACCACTGCGCCGTGCTCTTGTTGTTATTGTAATACCACCCATATTGTTCATGAATCATTTCTACATTTAAATGATAAAGAAATGCAAGGCCACAATCTATCGCTGGCATGAGTTGACCATAGGTAGATTAAGGAGGTTTAACAGCGTTTATGAACAGAATTTAGAAACATACAGTAATTCGAGGAGAAATATAAAGCTTGTGCATATTGGTTCCACGATCAGTGTTACATTTAAGGCCGCCTGTAAATGAAACCCTGAAAACAGATGGATGCAAGGAAATAAATGAACGGCATAACACTGTCTTCCTTTCCGTATGGAAATGATTTCAGTTGCATCAGAGTTTCCTGCCTAATCTTTACGACAAACTAATCGAAACACTTAAAATAAAGGAATAGAATAAGGTACATTCAATATACATTACCGTAGCTGCAGCGATGACTTTAACTTCTAAGGTCTAATCTCTTAACGTAGAAGAAAAACTCCAGGGACTTGTTGCATTATCATGTTGAAGGGTGTTAAGAATGCTACATACAACGGAAAAAACTGGTTAGGAGAAAACAACAAAAAAACGAACTGGTTTTATACAAGTGAGGAAGGAAGTTTGAAGCTTCCACCCATTTATGTTGAAAATGAATGAGAGAGCGGCAATGAAGTATACGTCTTTTTTTTAACCTTTAACCTGGGCAACCATTAGCACCTTTAGCGGTTACAGGGGATAAAAGGATTCCAAGGAATGTTCAGCTCACAACGCAAAGACCACCGAACCTATTACCAACCTGCTAGTTGATTATCTTTGCTCTCCAGCGATCACTGGAACTCCACAAGATTCAATAAAGACATAACTGTTGTCTGCATAAGCCATGAGCACTTGATAATGGATGATAGCACTGATATTTGTGAAATTAAAAAAAACACTTGTGTACTTGGATGGCCCATCTTCATTGGTTGTGTGGGCCCCAGCATAATTTCCGTTTTTTCGGAGTTTTGCTGGTCAAGCCATTGTTTTTCCCTGTAGTCCCGAGGTCAGGCTGGCCAAAGTCCGCCCCAGGTCGTCACCAACAAAAGCAATCGCCGCCTTTGTGGATCAAACGAAGATTTTCCAACACGCGGCCATTTTCATACTAGGACGGTGGTGGATTCTGGTATTGGCTTACTCTTAGCTAGGCTTCCTGATA